TAATTTGATTTAAGGAACATTTTATCTCCAGTATTTCTTTTTGCTTCTTTTCTCTGAGGTTTTCCATATCTTTGCTAAACTCCTCTTTCATATCTTGGGCTGTCTTCTTTATTTCATATTTTTTTATAATCTCCTTAGCTTCATTTTGGAATTTGTTGAAATCCTCTCTGAGTTCATTTAGTTTTTTTCTGGGTCTTCTCAAGTGTTTTATTTGTGCTGTTTTGATATTCTTTGAGTTGTTTTTATATGTTCATTTTAAGTTTCTCTTCAAGCTCCTCTGTGTGTTCCTCTTTAAGATACTTTTGAGTTCCTCTTAAAGCCCCTCTTAAAACCCATTGAACATTCTTAGCATCATTCAAGTGGGGGCAGCGACTGGGGATTCATTTCCTTCATTTTACACCAAATTCTGTATAGATTTACTGTTAGCCTTTTTAGGAGTTTTATTCCACTGCCTTCTTTCCCCCATTTTTCTATTTTATGTTTTGCTCCTCTATTGTTGATTAGCTATTAGGGGGCTTTAAACATCTGCTGTCTTTCCCTTGACTTAATTTCTATGCTCTGTCTATCTTAGTTGTTAGGTAGGTTGTTGTACTATTTCTGTTCTCTGACCTGGAGCTATAATTTAGAAATAACTAATTCACAAATTCTATGACAGAGCAGTTACTTACATGATATATAGAAAATCTCTTGGTTATATTATCTATAAACAATGGTTTTTGGGGGAATGACAGGTGTTTGGACAGAGACAGATACTTAAATAATATAAAAAGTGGCACCACAGGAGGGGGCAGAAGTTAGGGGTGGGTAACGTGAGGAAAGGGTGCATGTTGTGGGAGGTATATGAAAATAAGGCCCTAATGTGTGTTAAGGTGTAGTTAAGTCATTGTGTGGAAGGGTGCTATTGTCAGGCATTGCAGAGGGATAGGAATGATTGGGTAATATTGAAAGTTGGTATAACAGACTATTCAGTGGGTGGTAAGTGTTGAGATTGGGGCATTGGGTGGAAGGGAGGGGGAGGAAAGGAAAGTAAGGAGAATAATATATATATATATATATATATATATATATATATATAATCAGTTTAATGAGTGTTGAGTGTTCTGACTCTTTCCTGTGATTTTCAAATCTAGGTAAAACACACTTGGAGGGGCTTTGATCATATTACTGTCCCTTCTTAAGGTTGGTATGCTGGACTGTGTTGCAATCGATGTTACAAGGAGCTGGAATGTGAGCAGTTAATAGACCCTTCCACCCACAGAGAAAACAGTGGAGGTAGAATTGAATTTTTTGGGTCACAGCTTTTCTCTTGGAAGTCTGTCAGTTTCAGTTCACTCCCAGATTCTCCATGGCAATCCAATATGTAGTTTTCACCAGAGTAGCTCTGGATTATTCCAACCCCACACAGGCTAGTTCAGCTCAGTGTTTCACCCCTCCCCCACCAGGAGCAGGGGAAATGTTCCTTCTGTGTATTTGGCTACAAGTTTTGGCCCAGAGAGGTAGCCAGTTGTCTGTTACACAGCCCAGCTGTTATGTGCTATGAAAAGCTAATTTATGGGTTATTCATTGAATATTATGTGAACCCTATGTATTGGTGGTATCTCAGTTGGCAGAAATAGCAAGTTTACCCAATCCTTGCCAACATGAAAATCCAGAGTACTTTTCTAAAATCGTGCAGGTCAAGGTTCAGGCAGGGTTAGTCATCTAACTGCCATCTTGGTCTCCCATCTCATTTCTTCTATTTGTTTGAAGTTAAGCTGCTAGTCTAACTTGCAGTCTCATCAGTGGGGACTCAAGTTTCCTTTTTGAAATGGACCTTAATTGATAAGGCTGTTGTGGAAGCATTGGTTTTATCTTCCCTGACATGTTTTTTATGCTTTTTAGCCAGGAGCCCTGATATTTCACTGTTCCACTATCTCCCTCACTAAGTTTGCTTCTGGTGGCAGATTCCCTCCTTAACACTGTGACTGGACATCCCAGAACTCTCTTGGCTGTCATATTTCAGTGTCAAAACTCTCCTAGCTACAAGGAGCTGCATGTATCTCAGTGCTCTGCCAGCAAAGTCTATATGCTTTGTTTAGGAAATCTTCTACAAGCTCTTAGTTGTGGTGGTCAGTTCCCTTGCCCAACTCCCTTTAACTTCTGAGCTTGCTGCAAGTCAAAGCCTCTCTGTAGTCATGTGTCTCGAGACATCCTGAAGAATAATCATTCTTGTGTTCAGGATCCCCCTAGCACCTCAGACTCCAACCAGGACATCCTCTGCAGATGGTGTCTGGTCACAGCTCTCTGAGGTGTGGAGAATGAGAGTTTGTCATGTCTGAAGGTGCCCTGTCACACAGAGGAAATGACTGTCCTCTCATATCTATACCCTGGGTTTGGGTATAAAGACTGAAATTATTGTTCCAGGTCTAGGTCAGCCAGTCCATGAAAGCTGTTGCCTTACTTACCTTGAGGTAGAGGCTTCAGCTTCTGCTCCACCAGGGGGATCTGGACTGGAGCTGCAAGTTGTTTTATGATTCAGTCTGTCATCTTCTTGATTTGCTGTATTTTCAAATATCCTGTAAATCTTTTGTGTTTCTCTGTGTTCTTCCTCTTTTTGGCATTTTTATAAGTAGTCTGTTCTTTGTTATTCAAACCCTAATACACAAGTCTGGATGGAGACAGCCTCTACTCTACTAGCTTGTGCCCAACCTCATAATGCTTTCATTCTTTTTATTTACCAGCTCTTATTAGGACAAAATATTTTTGGATAATTTTAAGCAAACTGTATTTGATAGAGCATAAAACTGTGTTAGAGAAAGTAAAAGGAAGTGTGAGGTGAAGAAAAGAGAAAACATCAAAATCTGAACAGCATGAAAACATCTTCCATTAGCTTTAAATTAATATTTTTATAAATTTAATTGTACCTCTTTAGTTTCAGAAAAGATAGGTTAATACTCAGGAGGAAGAAATGGCCATTTAATCATCTTCCACAATAACAACATCAAGAAAAACACAACCCAGCAAAGTCACACCCAGGATGTTAGCACTGGTAACAAGGAAATGAATTCAGAAGACTAATAAGACACCAGCCCAGCCATGCTCATTGTGGCAATTTTCAAAATAGATGATCTGTATTTCACCTGAGTGCCCATCACAGGATGAAGGGATAAAGAAAACATGGTGTATGTACACAATGAAATATTACTGGACTATGAAGAAAAGTGGAAGGCAGTCATTGTGGCAACATGGAAGGAACTGGAGGCTATATTGCCAGTTAAAATCAGTCAGATTCAGAAATACAAGGACCACACGTTCTTTATTACAACTTCATGTTATATGAGTTTATTCAGCTGATACACCTAAACTGTATGACCATGGTTAGAAGAGGTTGGGAGAAGGGGGTGAGCAGATGCTGAATGAAGAGAGTCTGGATATCTTCAGTGCACTGTCTGTGCATGTAGGGAAATACCATTTTGTACACATTAATATATAGTATGATTATTCAGAACAGATCCACAGTTCAAGGATTATTAATGCTATTATTTTATATCCACATCAGCCTGCCTCCTGCCACAGAAGCATATTCATCATATATATTTATTATCACAAGACCGTCATATGATTCTATTATACAACTCTTGGGCATATAACTAAAGGAATGCAAGTCAACACAAAATCGATAATTCACAACTATATTTATCACAGCACTACTCATAATAGCCAATTCATGGAATGAGCCTAGGTACCCATCAAGTGATGAATAGATAATGTAAATGTGATACACACACACACAAATACACTTGCACACACACACACACACACACACACAAATGGAGGGCTCTCATTGACATATGTGAAACTCAGACAGTATTTTCAAGAAGTGAATGATAATGGGGATCATCATATTAAATGAAGTAAGCCAGGCTCAGAAAGGCAGACATTGTGTATTTTCTTATCTGCAACAGCTACATCTAAAGAAAAAAAATGAACATGAAAATAATAGTGGGAGTATTGGAAGGTGAATCCAGTAGAAGGTGGGAAGTAGAAAATATGATCACCTGCCTGGAACTGAGGGGGGAAAGGGGGAGAGGGTGGGCAGGGGGGAAAATGACCCAAACAATGTATGCACATGTGAATAAATGAATAAAAAAAGAAAATGTGATCAAAGTACATTATATGAGTGCAGAAAAGTGTCACAATGAAAACCATTAAAATTGACAGAAAAATTAAAAGGAGGCTTAAAGAGTATGGAGATAAGAAAGAAATCGGGGGGTGGCAAGGATAAATGCATATAATATGCACATATGGAAATATCATTATGACACCCCTACTATTGTTCAATTCATATGTGGTAGGAAAATGTGTAAATATTGTCTCAAGTTTAAAATATCTGCCTAAGGTAGAACATGGAGCAGATACTTCAAAGAAGCTATTTTGCCCATGATCATATTAAGTTCTGTGGAATCTGAGACAAATTAGAAACAGAATCCTTAATACGAGAACATAACCTAATCACCTGCCATAACACATCCTAAGATGCTGACACCCACATTATTGGGCAGGGAATTTAAGGCAGTGAAATAACAGGAATGATATATTGCACAAATGAAAACCCATAGACTTAGATTTTTTCTACTATAAAATTATACATAGGGACTTAGTGGCCAAATGAGTATTTTCCCATGACAGTATAATTTATGAATATTTTAATAACATAAAAATATTTAGTTACATGTATGTCACTGAGATGAAGTTATCGCCAAAGTTATGTCACCATGAATAAGTGGCAATTTATAACCATTTTTGATCAAAGATCAAAAATGTTTGGGAATATTTGTGCACAATAAAATATAGATATTTGGGTGTCACAGAAAGAAAAAGTGCAATGTTGTAATTGAATTGTATAGAAAATGTGAAATCAGAGAAAGAGGATCTCCAGGAACAAAACAGAAGGAACAAATTCCATTTCCCCAATTTCATCATGAACTCCAGGTCTGACCATAAATCTTACAGTCCTGCAGTCATGGACATTTCTTCCATCTTGAAACATGAGGTAATTTTATTATTACTATATCAAAAATTCTTTTCAGAGCCCTCTTGATTTCCTTATTCCTGAGACTGTAGATGAAGGGGTTCAGCATGGGGGTGACCACACTGTACATCACCGAGGCTCTTGCAGTTGAGTGTGGGTTTTGGGCCATGGCAGAACTTAGATACACTCCTAGACTAGTACAATAAAATAAGGAGACAACTGAGAGGTGAGACACACAGGTAGAAAATGCTTTGTACTTCCCTTGAGCTGATGAGATCACACAGATGGAGGAAACTATCTTTGAGTAAGAGTAAATGATGCCACTGACAGGACAAACACCCAGCACCAGAGCTATTGTATATATCACCACGTCATTCAGAAATGTGTCAGAACAGGCAAGGTGAATCAACTGGTCAGGTTCACAGAAAAAGTGAGGGATTTCCACCTGTGTACAGAAGGACAGCTGCAATGTCACTAAGCTTTGTAATAAAGAATTCAAGGCACATGTGATCCAGGACACCAATGACAGCAATGCACAGAGCTTGTGATTCATGATGACCATGTAGTTCAGGGGGTGACAGATGGCAACAAAGCGGTCATAGGCCATTATAGCCAGAAGAATGTTGTCCAAAACTACGAAAAATGTGAAAAAATAAATCTGTGTGATACAGCCTTCATAAGTTATGGCTCTGCTGTGTGTCTGTATGTTCACCAGCATCTTTGGGATGGTGGTGGAAGTGAAGCAGATGTCCACAAAGGACAGGTTAGAGAGGAAGAAGTACATGGGTGTATGCAGGTGGGAGTCTGTGACCGTGGCCAGGATGATGAGAAAGTTCCCAAGCACAGCAGTCAGGTACATGGAGAGGAACAGTCCAAATATGATGGTCTGCAGTTCTGGAACCTCTGAAATTCCCAGAAGAAGAAATTCTGAAGTTTGGGTATAGTTATTTGTTTCCATGTGATGTGTATTCTTACCAGAAAAGAAGAAAATGATGTTTTACCGATTATCCCTCTAGGCCATCCCCTGTGACATTTCTTATGAGAAACTGATCTCCATCTCCACAATTTCTTAAATTTGTTGTATATTCAGCAGTTTTAATAAGGAATTCATTTATCTATTTGAGAAATACGAATTGAGTTGCAAACATGTTTTTAGCACAGTCTACATCATGAGTATAGTAGACAGACAAATAAAAACTCTTACAGACTCTTCACAGAAAGAAAATGTAGGTACATAAGGCAAATACTGCAAAATAAGACTTAGAAGAGGATTTGAATGTGTTCAACTTAAACAATGATACATGTTTGAGGACATAGCTAGATTTGAAAATTACATAAAGTTTACATTCAACCATAATCACATTACATGTCATAAATATTACATGTATCAGTTAAAAGGGAAGAGAATTTATCATATGACCTATGAGATGATTTAATTAGTATGAATAAAGAGTAGGTAGGAAAATGGATAGGGGAAGGATGTCCTTCTGATGAGCTCCAGCATGGTCAGGTAAACAAGATAACATTGGAGAATTTTCAGTGAAGTGAGGTGGAGCCACACAGTCACTCAGAAGTCTGTGTTTGGCAGGAGGCATGAGCTGTGGAAAGGCCTAGAGGTTGGTGCTTCTATGGAATTCCAAATTTCAAAATAAGGCCTGTGGCAACAAGAATGAGCAAGAAGAAGATGATAGACTGATTCTATCCAATAATGTTGAAAACATGGCCTCTGTGAAGACACAGAAATTTTAAGATTTTCAGATGCAGAGACCCATTTACTCCCTTTCCTTTACACTTTGGGCTTTGTAGAGACACAATCCACATGCCAAGAAGTGTACATGTACTGCATGAGTTAGGATGTAGGCACTCCCTGGTCACACCATCACCATAACCCATGTCACAGACACAAACTGTGTGTCTGAGAGGGCTCTGGTTTCCTTTTATTTTGTTTTGTCTTATTGTTTTTTCTGTAGTAAAACACTTAACATGGGATCAATCTTCATACTAAATTTTCTTCTTGTTCATATTTATTTTAGTTTAGTTTTGCTTTTTTTTAATTGATAGGGTCTTGCTATGGGACACAGGCTGTCCTTGAATTCCTGGCCTCTCCTGCCTCATCTCCTGCACTGAGTTGCAGGTTTATAGGTGTGCCTCACATAGGCCATTGTAAGGACTTTGTTAGTTAGTCCACAACTAACTTCAAGTGTACAATATCATGTTAGTGTTAGCTCTAGGTGCTATATCAGACAGCACATTTCCAGAAATGTAACATTCTAGGTAACTATCTCTTTATATACACTGAGAATAATGCCACATTGCCCCTCCTCCTCTCCACCATTCTATTTGGGGCATACATGATTCAGATTGTTTTAGATAGCTCATGTACATGAATTCAAGAAGAATTTTGACATCAAATGTGTCCTCTGGGTCACAGTGTTTCTATAGTCTTTAAGTGCCTGTATGATAATAGTCACCACTGGTCTACAGAATGATTCCAGAAGAAAAAAACTTACAGACAATTGTCCTTGATGAACATAGGTGCAGCAGTGCTCAACAAAATGCTAGCAAGATGAAATCAACAGAAAGTTCAAAGCTTTATTCCCAGGTTAGACTATGTAAGCTCACGTCCCTGTGCTCTGCGGAAGGCTCTATAAGATGCTGTGCCTGTCAGGAAAATCTGTCCTCTGTCTCATGTGATTACCTGTGGGGCCATTGAACCATGTACGCATTTATTTCATTGAATTGCGTTTTCCATGATGATGTGAGATCCAGTTGAGCAGAGATCTTATGTGCTATTCTGGTTTTTTTTTTGTTCAAAGATTTGAAATTTTAGGTAAATATAGAAAACAATTAAGAAATTAAATGTGTAATGCAAAAAGAATAACCAGGTAAATAAATGGCTTCAACGCAATTGCATTAAATGAAATTTAATGAAAAATCTGAGATATCGCAATGAAAAATCTGTAATAAACAAGCTTAATGAGAGAACTCGAGTTTCTAATTCAAGATATAATTAATATGTACACATTTATAAATGCAAAAATGATACCTGTTGAAACTGCTATGAATGTGGGCATGATAGATAAAGGACAATGATGGACGTGGTGAATTCAAGTATGATATGTTTGATACATTGTAAGTACTTTTGTAACTGCCACAATGTACCCCCACCCAGTGTAACAATAAAGGAAAGAAATAAAAACCTATAGATTTTAAAAATAAAGGAAGGTAAATACAGTTGAAGTAATTTCTCTACATGTATAAATATGTAACATTGAAACCTGTCAAAGTAATTTTAAGATGAAGAGAGATGGGAGAACAATGGAGGGGATGAAACAAATGGGGTAAAATATATGCTTATGTGGAAATCTCACAATGATACCCCTATAACCTATATTAATAAAAATGATTTTAATAATGCCAGAAGGTACTCTCTTTAGAAACAGTGGAGGAAGCACTATCTAAAGTTTTGATTTCACCCTGTGTAAACCCAAAGTGACTCAAGTATGGTTGTCATACTGGACACAGCTCCAGGTAACAGTAATGACATTACGTGAAACCATGTGACAATGTTTTCCCAGCTCTCTTCCTGAGTTCTCACCACACACTCAGCTTAGGCAGCACATGTGTTATTACACTCATTTCTCACACTGACCCTGTACTGCTGGTTATTTATATTCATTGTCCAGAAAGGTAATCTCCACACAGGTGATGAAGTTGATATGTATGGAAATATGCCTACAGAAGATGTAGGTGATCTTGAGATGAATTTCAAAGAAACTATTCCACCAAAAATCAGAAGGTGATTTCTTTTGTAAAAACAGAAAATGTCACAAAAGGCAATGCTCTACAATTCAAGACAAACAGATACAAAATAAAATAGCTGCAAGTATGAAGCCAATTTAGTAATAATCATGATGCAGAAAAATCTCCAAATGTAAAAGAGAGTGATTGGATGAGATGCAATATGAATGACAGATCATCTATCTCATGAAAAATTCATAAAATTTCACATACCCCCTGTAAGATGTATTCATACCTGTATAAAAGAACTAAAAATCAAGTACCAAACTCAAGGAAAAAACCTTCTAGTTTCTTCTTCGAAATCAAAATTTAAAAACACTTATATCCCACACAGGTAAAAACTTCAAATTTCCAATTACAAAGAGAAAAGTAAAAGATAGCAAGTTCCAAAACAGGGGTTCAAGATGGGCAGTAAGGAAGGAATTAGTCTGAAAATCTCTTTAGTTTCTCCTTTGATCTTTCAGGTACAACATATTTTGCTTATGTGAAAACCCAGCATGAAATCAGACACTGGGGAAGGTATCTCACTAACTGTTGTTGCAATGAAGTATTTGTAAGGAAACTACTACTTGGTGCTTTTTAAATGAACATGGAAACAGAGTAAATTAAACTGTGCATTAAAATCTTAAGAAAGTATGCACTCATTCACTGTGCCTCACTACACTTTCTACTCAATTTTCTTTCTAACTGAACCATCCTTGAACATGTTCTAATATAATGAGAAATACCTTAAACCACTTTTTCATTCAGTCCCCATTGCACTCCCATTCCCATGACATCCTTGTCAACAATGGTCCATGCATTTCAGAATCTAAAACCCATTCCTCTTTTTAACATATTAAATAGATTTTCAGTCAAGTAAGCCAGAAAACAGTGATCTTTCACACCTGGGTTTGGCAGGCTTGGTTCCCAGGTACCACATACTTCTTTTTTGCTCAATATCTCTTCAGACTCACCTGGATGTGGTTTCTGGGAAGAAGGATTCCATGTGAATATGTGAATTTCCTGAGGGATAGACGATAATGGAGACTGAAGCTATGCCCCAGATAAGGCAGCAGGAGGGAATGAAGCATTGGTCACCTCCAATGGAACAAGCCTTTCATGTTCTAGCCAAGACAGCACCCTGAGGTATCACACAAGGGATGTATTTCTACCTCCCGGTGCTCATTAGGTACTTTTCCTCTCATTACCTCAACTCCTGAGCTTCTCCCTGATTTCCCTGAGGAACTGTTGTCTCAGAAGAAAGGAAATTTTTCCTCCACATTCTTTGTTCAAAAGAGATCATGTGAGGAATTAGGCAAATGCAGTCTGTTTATATCTTCTCCCTGAAATCTCTGACTTACAAAAATCTCACTTTCTTAGCACTTTTGCCAGTTCATAGTTCACTTTTTCTCCAGTGTCTGAAATACCAGGATTTACCACAACCTTCTAATTCATGATGCTTTTAATTTTTTATTGATTTCTAGCATATACAAATGAATTTAGTGTTTTCATTTACCGGTTTTTATTAAGACAAGATACCACAGGGTAATTTCATATAAAGAAAGTTATATTTTATGAAAACCTAAAATTATGCCGCAGAAAGTGAAAATGAACTCTGAGTTGAAGGAGAAAAAGGAAAGTGTCAAAATCTGAATGCTTGAAACCACCACAACTTTCAATGATTATATTTGAAGGTGCTAGTTTTACATCTTTATTTTGGGATAAGTGTAAACTAATGTGCTTGAGTAAGAAATGAAACAGAATGATCTATGTGTCATTTATTCACCTTCCACAATGACAATGTGAGAAGAAAACAAAGAGCAAGGTCACATGCAGGATGTTAACCTAGCAATAAGGAAATGAATTCAGAACACCAATAAGACACCGGCCCATCCATGCTCATTGTGGCAATTTGCCCAATACTTCAGATCTGTAATCCACCTGAGTGCCCATCACAGGATGAAGGGATAACGAAAAGATAGCACATGTGTACAATGAAGTATTACTTGACTATGAAGAATTGTCAATTGTAGCAACATGAAGGGAATGGGAGGACATATTGCCATTTAAAGTCAGCCAGATCAGATAGAGAAGGGCCTCATGTTTTCTGACATAAATTCATGTTATATCTATGTATTCAGCTGACACACCTATACTGTATGACAGGGATTAATA